AAGGTTCACCAAATTCTTGTGCCTCAATCTTCCTAAGCTTTCAATCTCAGCTGCAAATTCCCTCATTCCTTTGGCTGGAGTTCTCAGGATCCTTTTAACAGCAACCTCAGTTCCTGTTCTGGGTAACACCCCTTTGTACACAGAACCAAAGCCTCCAACTCCAATTAGTTGGCTCTCTACGAACCTCTTTGTTGCTAGGTGAAGATCTCTGTATCTGAACCTGTGAGGACAATCCATTTCCCAGTCCTCAAGAGTTTCAAATACCATGTATCTCTTATAGAGTGTCACATAAAGAAAAAGGCACAACAAGTTAAATGTCAAAGCAGACAACATGCCAATTATAACCTTGATCCAAGGAAAAGACTGTGAGTGTTTCTCCTTTGGTGGTGGCTTTGGAAGTAGTGCATAATCTAATGGAGGGGCAATCCCATTTAATGCAAAACTCCACCCCAGAATATAATGAGCACTTGCTTTCCTCTTACCTGTTGATGCAGAGAAACCAAAAAACATGCTCTCCTTCATGACAGATTTGATGTCAACAGCCTCAGATATAAGAGGTTTGCTTGGTTTTGGTTCCAAATAAGGGGATATTGTGAGATTCAGTATTTCTGTTTCACCATCATATTCAATCCAAACACAAACAGCGTCAGCCTTCTCCATGTTGAACTCTTCCTTTTTGCCATCTACAAAGTAAGCAGCAGGCTCGGATATATTTGAGGACATACCATTTTTGTTCACCCCAACATGGTTTCCTACAGTGTCAGTGTCATCTTTGTAGCCATTAACTGTATCAAACTCAACCACTAAGATGTGATTTGAGGATTTCATATCATTGGAGGAGTTGAAAAGACCAAGAAGATGGCCACCTTCAGCTTGTGGGAATCGTGTTGAAGGAGCTATTGTGAAGGCAAGACCAAAGCCACCAGGACCAGCGCTTGGTGACACAATTGAGAAAACAAAGCATGTACTGAAGGAGAAAACCTTTGGCTGGACTGAAGCAGTTTTGTGAAGTATTTTGATGGATTCGTTGTAGAATGCATGGCCAACAATATTGTTTTCTCTTCTTGTAAGCTCAAGTCTACCTTGGTTGTCAATCTTTGCTTTCTCTTCACGGGTGATATTGCTTTCATTGAAGCCATGGAATGTGAAGGAAAAAGCAGTGGAAGAAACAAGCAGAAAGAGAAAGATGAGGAGGCCAAAGAGAGTTTTTGGAGCCATTTGAGAATTTTGATGTCAAAAAATGTATGCCAAGCATATACTTATAGGTTCAAAGCAAGTGGACAAGGTCAAGAAAGAAAAGTATGTATAAATGCCAAATAACATGTAAGTGAGTGATATGATACATCAGAGAACAAGTAAAACCATTATTATCATTTGTGGTGTAGAAGAAAGTGGTTGGAAATGGGGCTGAAATTTCTCTGCCATAAATTTCATGACAACTGAACTTTGAAGTCTTCTTCGATTAGAAATTATCAGTGATTCTGCAAGAGACCGCAATTGACATACATATTTTCGTTTTGGTTGCTTGCGCGAACATAATGCTTCACATGTGCACAAACATGACAAGAAAAAAATTCTATCTCCTAAGAGTAACAGTCTGAGAAACGTGTATACCATCGGGTTTTTGTTGTTTAAACTAAAAGACAAAAATGTTAAAAATAAAAAAGTATTATTTAATATAAATTTGTTTACAATAAAAGCGTAAGATGTAAGATAATTAGTAGTGTTTGTTAATAAAAATACTTTTATACGATAATAATATGCTTTTTTAAATTAATTTACTAAATTGAAAAATATTTTCTTTATATTTATTATATTATTTATAAAAAAAATTTATAATTTATTTTATATATTTTTATTTTTATTTTTATTTTCTTAATGAAATATTTAACGATGGTGTATATAATATGAGAAATAATTTTTGTAACATTCCAAAAATACAGTCTAAAATTATATAATAGAATAATCACATTTAATAATATTACAGCTCAGTCTTACATATAGAGAAGTAAACTTGTGGCGGAACGACCTTACAGAAAGAACTAGAAAACTAAAATCGAACAACATAAGCAAACCCCGACCGAATGGTCCTACCAAAAGAAGAGGGGAAAAGATGATCGAACGATCATCTTAAAACTAAGCTAATAAACTGACCGAACGATTCTATTCGTTCGGTCTTAACTTCTACCTCAACTAAATTCTCTTCTTCCAACGCTTCTTCTAGCAGCTCGTCTCCTAATGCTCACATCCACATGGATGATCATTGCAACAGAAGGACAACTGATCGTACAAAACAGACAAGACAGGAAACATAGGGTAAGCTTATGTAATCTAATTCATGTACAAACATATATTTCACACAATCAAAACCAAACAAGATAATTCATCACCCGCTCATGCAAAGCCTAATATTAGACTGACTGTCCGGATTGTATGAAGTCTGTGTAGCTACTACGTTCGTGCACCCGGGTGATGTAGTAACTGGGATACCCTCAACAGTTGCCACCCGAGGTTAGTCCTATCTGTCCAAATTAACCATAAGGACTAGGACCTCCTGCCGTTCCCATACATGACTTACTCTTCTCTACGTGAGAATGAGTAATCACGGAACATCAGGATGAACCGCCAGCTTAGCATGCCCACATTCATACTTTACCAAATTTCAATATTCATTCATGAGATATTCCTCCCTGGAATACTCGTTCATAATCATGCTCATTTCATATACATCATATTCCATCATCTTCCATTTTCAAACTTCACTTTTATCTAAGATCACTTAAGTTACCAAATACCGAACGTACAACTTTAACCCTTAACGAGACCGATCACTTGGACTGAGACCGATAGGTTTCCTAGTTCCAGAATAGATCAAAACCGAGGGAGAATTACCATCGGGATTGGGAAGAGACCAAGTTCAATAATATTTCTCAAGATTTAAAAGGATCGAGCGTTATTTACAAAGTGAGTCAATTTGATGAACTGACCCATGAGGAGTTAGACTAAACACCTTAAAGCCTAGATCGAGTACTAAGACTCTAGGCCGAAACCAATGGAAACAGACACTATAATACATTCAAATAATAGTACTTAAAAGAATCATATGAAGAAACCGAACTCTTATAAATACTTAGCTTATTTATAAATTTATCCTCAAGAAAACCGAATGTCAGTCAAAGATCGAGCACGGTAGAGAATGAACACTATTGAGTTTAGACGAACGCTATTTTCATCAAGGTAGATTATAGAAAAGAGAATGAGCGCTTGGTGTAAGACCCAACACTAAATAGTACGAGCGCTTGGTGAAAGACCTAGCTCTAAATCGTACGAGCGCTTAGTGAAAGACCTAGCATTAAATAATACGAGCGCTTGGTGAAAGACCTACCATTAAATAATACGAGCGCTTGGTAAAAGACCTAGCACAGAATAGTACGAGCACTTGGTGAATATAGGATATCATTTGACCAATGTTCAAGAACGAACGGACATACTACTACACAGATATACTTGAATTTATATTAAATTACCAAGGAAAGGATATCCTTGGTGGAACGTCTGTACACAAATTGTACTAGACAAAGACGCTCGTCCTCAACATAAATTCTTTCCAAATGAAAGAATCCAGTTCTAAACGAGTCCCCTATAAAAGCCGAACGGTCAAAGAGCATTCAGTAACGAACACACATTATCTTAGGGAAATTTCATACTTAGAAATCATTTATCTCAATTCATTTCTCAACATTTATCTACATAATTTCATATATCCACATCATAGTAAATTCACATACTTCATACATCAGAACATAGCACAATCATATTTCATTTTAATTCATCAACTCAACAAACGTTCATACAATACAAGCAACATACAAATTAAATTATATAAGCTTCCCTTACCTCTAAGTGTGACCGAACTTTCACAGATAGGATTACTGATTCACCTCTACGAATCCTTCTACACTCAACGCTCAACAGTTCTTCAAAACTAAACCAAGTAAAATCAAACATTATCAGAACTACGAATTTTTAGAAGAGTAAACCATACATGAAACCAGAACTTGGTTTGCATGTCCAGAAAACCGCACGGCTGAGTGAAAAAAAGAACTTACCAGCTTAGCTTCACAAACCGATCGGTTCAGTTGAAAATTCTTGACACCGGGAGAGTGGAAATGGTGCCTGAGTGACGATCAGAGGAAGAAACGATGAGGCTTTCTTAGAGAGAGATGAAGGAGATGTAGAGAGAAGAAGGAGAAAAATGGGATTTTTCAGAATCTGGGGAAGAAGGGTGCATGCAGAGAGAGTGGCGTGAATTTCTGAAAATCAAAGTTTTCCTTCCAATGTCAAAAACGAACGTCCACTCAGCTGCTAACACCTGCCTTCACCCATCTGATTGTCGAACCCTTCGCTTGACACATGAAATCCACTAAAACGGCACGTGCATGGATTTGAGTGATTCTGACAATTTTAATAAAAAATAGAAAATAAATTATAATTTTTGTTCTGTACTTATCAAAATAATAAAAATTTTAATTACAAAACTTTTTAATTGACTTTTTTCTCTCGCTGTCGTTTTTTCCATTTAAACGAAACTTTTTGGGTTAAAAGAATTGACTTTTTTGTCTAAATTTATTAAGATTGACTTATTTTGATTTATAATTTAAACCAATTTAATTTGACATTTAACATTAATCTTTTATTTGAGTGAACTCATCTTAATCATTGATCGAAACTCAAAATCTCGTATTTAAGAATTAATGAAAATTTTATAGTAAAATCAAACTTACTTTTCCCTATAATCCTAACCATTTTAAGAAGAGCTTTTGGTGACCAGAACTTTTTCAGATCCCTTATTTTATGGGCAAATAACATAGGGATCTTTTTAAGATGATATTGAGCTTGGTCAAATTTACATCATGTATCACATAGAATTAAAATTAAGTTTCCTATGCTTGAGGAATTAGTATATCCATAGAACTGAACTGTTTATATTACATTTTATTTTTACTGTGTGTTGTTTGCGCCTTATTTTTGTGTGCATTCTTTTGTATCCTTTTCATTTATACTTCTAACTTTTACAGAGAAATTGTAAATATATGATTAATTTCAACTTGAGTAATGACCTAATGACCTCAGAAAAATAGAATCTTGCAGAAACAATTTTTTTTTCACTTTTTCGAATTTAATTTTATAGAAAAAATATTTTATTACTTAATTATAAATTATTATAAATAATAAGTATTTTATATGTTTATAATAAATATATTAACCAATTAAAAATATTTAAATATTATTAATTTATTAATGGTGTAAGAACATTATTAAAAAACTTAACTCTTGATAAAAATAAGTACAGGTTTCATTTATGTAAAACCCACCACCATGTTTTGTGTCCTTTTATTTATTTTGTATATAAATGAACAATTGTATAGTTTGAGTGAATAACATAATATGTATTAATATATATATATATATATATATATATATATATATATATTTTTATTTTATTTTTATTTTCTACACAAGATTAAAAAAATGTATGTGTATTTTGTTCGCATTAAATAAAATCAAAGTGCGTAAAAGTCCACTCAAATGCAATAATTAGAGTTATTTTTCACAAACTTAAAAATAAGTTTATAACAAATTGATAACAATATTTATCTATTTAACACTACTAGATTATAACAATTTTAGGATTGTCAACTAATAAACTTAAAAGGTAAAGTCAATCCTAAAATCTTCCACCGAAACTAGAATGCATTTCTAACAAATTATTTCTTAAGAAAAATTATAATAAAAAAATTAATCAAATACAATAAAATATTATTATGCTCACAATGGGTGTAAGAACCGAGAGGTTTAGAAGAGTTTGGAGTAGACAGGTGTAAGCAAAGGATGAGACCGAGCGGTTTAGATTAAAATAAAATTGATATATAAATGAAAAGTTTCAAAAGTCTTGTCCCATTCTCTGAATACAATTTTATCTCTCCAATTTCTTCTACTCTCTTTTTTTCTCCTCCTTCTCTCTAGAGTTCTTTAATCTTAATTCATCTGTTCAACGTTCAAACAATACCTAAAGAATTCATGTGTCAAGAACTTGCAATTCATCGATCAATGTAGTGGTTAGAGCTGGTAAGTTTTGTTCCTTTAATTCTGGTGAATTTCTGGTATTTCTGACACATGCAAGTAAGCCTTGTTGTTTACATGTGTTCATCAGTCTTCTCTTCTACTTTCTAACTTCATTTTTGGTACTTTGGTTGGTCTCTTCTCACCAATCAGTGAGTTATAGGTGTTCTTAGGATTTTCTGGAGGTGTGAGCAAATTTTTGGAAGGGTAGAAGATTC